AGCGGGAGGTGGTGGGCACAGGGCGGCCCACACGCCCGAGGGGGCGGGCGGCTTGGGACCTCACCCGCCGCGCTGCAGGGCCCGGCTCTGCGGGACGGGGCTCGGGCTTTGGGAGGGGAAACCTCCTCTTTCCTCCCTAAACTGCGGCGGGGAGCGGCCTAAGCCCGCGCGTACCTTCAGCGCCTGCTTAAGCCTCCTTCAGCTCCGCCAGCCGTCCAGCATCCCCCGGCAGCGGGATTTCAGTCCCGGGCTGGAAACGACGCCGAGGCCTGATGAACCAGTGCGAGGGGGGCCCGGGGCCCAGCACCGGCTCTCCTCGGCGGGATGCTCGTGGTGCGGCCGCTCTCCCCCACGGGCGAGGGTCGCGGGGGCTGTGGCGGGGGAGCCGGGCCGCCGGCGGGAGGGGAACGGCGGTCCCCGGTGCCACGGAGAGCGGCGGCCGTGCCCGCCCACTCTTCTGCGAGCTCTGAAGATGCGCGGCCTTTAGAAAGGCTGCGTGGCCTTCGCCCCAACCGCAAGTGCTTTTCTCTTTTTAATGGGAAAAAAACTTTATAGGGCGTCACTTGAAAGGAGACAGGGGGAGGGGGAAGCTTCAATGTTGTCTAGCACGTCGGATTTGTTTAAGGGCCAAGTTTATTTTGGATAAGAAATTCCAGGAGGCGTGGAGGGTTAATTAAAGCACAGTTTTAGCCTGAATTAAATACAGATAGTAGTTATTCATCCATTAAAGTTTTTATAATCGCAAATTGCAGCCCAGCATGGGAGAATTATATATAGGCCACGCAGGGAACACTGGATGTGTCTGGTTTTACGTTTCCTACAGTAGGTGTTTAAAGATTAGCTTAATTTAAACTCGGTAAAATGTTGATGGTTCGTCTGCGACTCCCAATAATAAGTGTTAAACAGCCGATATGATTCCGTAGTCTGCCATTCACGCTGTTCGCGGCAAATGACCGGGTTGCCTGTTGCGCATATGGCAGGACGGGTCAATGCGTCACCGCGCGGGATGTGACGCTGCCGGGCTCGGGCCGGAGCAAGAGATCTCAGCCCCGGCAACGAACGGCCAACCGGTCCCGAGAGACCTGCTCTCCTCGCCTCCCTCCCCCCCCCCCCCCCCGGCCCCCCGTTAAGGCCCTCGGCGCTCCTGGCGCCGGAGGCCGAGCCCGCAGAGGAGCGCTAGGCCCCGGGCAGGGCTGGGGCGGCCGCCGTCCCGTCCCGTCCCGT